AGAGTTTTTCTAATGTTATATTCTATAATTTTTATAGTTTCAAATCTTAGATTTAAGTCTTTGATCCATCTTGAGCTGATTTTGTATAAGATGAGTGATGAGGATACAGTTTCATCTTTCTACAAGTGATTTGCCAATTATCCCCACACCATTTGTTGAATAGGGTGTCCTTTCTCTACTTCATGTTTTTGTTTGTTTTGTCAAAGATCAGTTGGCTGTATTTGGCTTTAATTCTGGGTTCCCTATTCTGTCCCATTGGTCTACATGCCTATTTTTATACCTGTACCATGCTGTTTTGATAACTGTTGCCTTGCAGTGTAGTTTGAAGTCAGGTAATGTGATGCTCCAGATTTGTTCTTTTTGTTTAGTCTTTCTTTGGCCATGCAGGCTATTTTTTAGTTCCATATGAATTTCAGGACATTTTTCTAGTTATGTGAAGAATGATCATGGTACTTTGATGGGAATTGCATTGAATCTGTAGATTGCTTTTGGCAGTATTGTAATTTTCACAACACTAATTCCACACATCCATGACCATTTGGGTCATTGATAATCTCTTTTAGCAGTGTTTTGTAGTTTTCCTTGTAGAGGTCTTTCACCTCCTTAGTTCAGTATATTCCTAAGTATTTATTATTATTATTATTTTTGTAGCTGTTATGAAGGGGATTGAGTTCTTGATTTGATTCTCAGCTTGGTCATTATTGGTGTATAGCAGTGCTACTAATTTGTGTACACTGATTTTGTATCCTGAAACTTTACTGAATTCATTTATCAGATATAGGAGCATTCTGGATGAAACTTGATGGTTTTCAGGGTATATGATCATATCATCAATGAAAAGTGACAGCTTGCCTTTCTCTTTACTGATTTGGATGCCATTTATTTCTTTCTCTTGTCTGATTGCTCTGGATCACACCAGACAGCAATTTCTGTGATATTTGACAGAGTTTTGATATTTGTAAACACAAATAAACAATAATCACAATAAAATAAGGAACACACTTATCACACTCAAAAGGATTTTATATCATTTTTGTCATATTTGTTTTGCTATTGTCTAAGAAATTGAGTAATTTTTAAAGTAAAAAATCCAAAAGACAAGGAAAGAGAAAAGGAAATATGGAACAGGTGGCTGAAATAGAAAGTACTAGTAAAATGGTAGATTTAAACCCAAATACTTTAGTAATCTACAAGTGTAAGTTAACTACATGGTTTAATTAAAAGACATATTACTAATTAATTAATGGGAGTGAAAGAATAAATCATCCCTGCCAAAGAATTTCAAATAATTTTAAAATGTAGAAGGAATGAGGGAAGTAGAAAATCAACATTAGAACAACACAGTAATAATTGCTACAGACTAGCAATTCATCTGCCGATGAATGCTAAAATTAGTGGGAGAAACTTAGAGGAGAAACAGAATACTTGCACAGTCTCAAAGTATCTCCTCCAAAATATTTATTAATTACTGTGGTTATTTTAACACATGTCCACAAATTCTTTGATACGCCTCCCTCTAGAAGAATAGCTTAATTTTTTTCTCCTTGAGCATGGGGCTAAACTTTGTGACTTGCATCTAACAAAAACTGTGAAAAAGGGAAACACAGTAACTTTACGACAAAAAAATATAGCAGACACCACTTCAAGTGATCAAGGTTAATATCATCAGTAACAAATCATGTTAATATAATGTATTATATGTTGCAATTAAAAGGGCACTTTACCTTTGGGGTATTCTTCCCAAAAGCCTGTAACCCCAGGCTAGTCATGAGATAAACCCAAACTGAGGTTTTATACAAAATATCTGACCAATACTCTTCCAAAGTATCATGGTCACTAAATAGAAGGAAAGGCTGAGAAACTGTCATAGACTAGAGAAGGCTAACAAGACATGACAACTAACTGCAACATGGTATCCCAGACTAGATCCTGAGACACTAAAGCACATTAGTGAAAATTAGTGAAATCCAAATATATTCTGTAGTTCAATGAATAGTACTGTCCCAATATTAATATCTTTGTTTTAATAAATGTTACATGGTTATGTATGATGCTAACATTAGGGGAAGCTGGGTAGAGTACACACGAACTCTGTACTATCTTTAAAACTCTTGTGTAAATGTAAACATTTCAAATAAAACAATTTTTAAGACACTAACAGGCTGGCAAAGCCATGTACTATTCATGAGATATATCTAAAATATAAGGATACAGAAAGAATGAAAGTAAAATGACAAAAAAGATACATTATCCCTAAAAGAAAAAATAGCCAATGTTGCTATACTAATATCAAGGTAGATGTTAAGATAAAAGGCATCATTAAAAACAAATATGAATACTTTATAACGAAATGTTCTATTAATTTGGATGATAGAACAGTTTTTTTGAGACAGGGTCTCACTTTGTCACCCAGGCTGGAATGAAGTGGTACAAATACAGCTTACTGCAGCCTAAACCTCCTGGGCTCAAGAATTCTTGCCGCAACCTCCCAAGTAGTTGAGACTACAGGCTCATGCTATCACACCAAGCTAATTTATTTATTTATTTTTTATTTTTGAGATGGATTCTCACTCTGTCGCCCAGTCTGGAATGCACTGGTGCGATCTCAGTTCACTGCAAGCTCCGCCTCCCAGGTTCATACCATTCTCCTGCCTCAGCCTCCCAAGTAGCTGGGACTACAGGTGCCTGTCACCACGCCTGGCTAATTTTTTGTATTTTTAGTAGAGGCAGGGTTTCATTGTGTTACCCAGGATGGTCTTGATCTCCTGACCTCGTGATCCACCCGCTTCGGCCTCCCAAAGTGCTGGGATTACAGGTGTGACCCACTGCACCCGGCCCACACCTAGCTAATTTTTGTACTTTTTGTAAAGACAGGGTTTCACCATTTTGCCCAGGCTGGTCTCGAACTCCTGAGCTCAAGTGATCCGCCTGCCTCAGCCTTCCAAAGTGCTGGGATTACAGGCATGAATCACAATGCCCAGCCTTAATTGTAAGTCAGCATATTAACAACATGGGCTAAAAACTATAGACAGCAAACACTGACAGAATTAAAAGGAGAAGTAGACAAATACATAATCATTGTATAAAATTGTAGAAGATTTTAGAACAACTGTTTCAGTAACTATTGAACAAAGAAATAAAACATCAGTAAGAATACAAAAAAATTTGAATTTGACAATAAATCTGATCTAATATATAGAACACTCCTACCCAACCCAACTGCAGACTATATATTGTTCTCAATCACAAAAAATATTTACCAAAATTATCATAGTCAATAAATCAACTCTCAACAAACTTCAAAAGACTAAAATCAGAGTATGTTCATTGACCACAATGCAATTAAACTAGAAATTAATGATGTAATGATTATAAAACCTCAAATTTTTGGAAATTAAGAAACATAGTTCTACAATCATGAGTTGAAGAAGAAATGACAACAGAAATCAGAAAAATTTTGACCTGAACAATAATTAAAATACTATACATCAAAACTTGTAGGATGTAGTTAAATGAATGTTTTGAGGAAATTTTGCTGTGAGGTATGTATTACAAACAAAAAAAATCCTTAAAATAATTGAGCTAAATATTCATCACTAGAAATCGGGATATATTCACCCTAGGGAAGTTGACTGAAAAAAGGAAAAAAAAGAGTTAAAGAAAAAAAAAAAAAAACAAAGAAAAAATAGATGTTAGGATATAGTGGGAAGGAGATAAAAAAGGGGTTGGTTAATGGGTACAAAATACAGTTAGAAGGAATAAGATCTGGTGTTCAGTAGCACAATACAGTGACTATAGTTAATAATTTACTTTACATTTCAAAATAACTAAAAGAGTGAAATTGGAATGTTTCTAATACAAAGAACTGATAATGCTTGAGGTAACAGATAACCCAACTATCCTGATTTGATCATTATACATTATATATTTGTATCAAAATGTCACACATATCCCATAAATGTGTATAATAATTATGTATCCATAAAAATTAGAAATAAAAGAATTGTAATAAGTTAGCATATAGTAATCACTTATCAGCCTTTTGGCTAAGATCAAGTGTAGACATTACAGTAAAGATAAAAGCAAAAAATAATAAAGAGGAAATAAATTTTTTAAAGGGTCAATCAAGATAAAGGTTGAATTTTTTACAAGATTAATAAGATTCAAAACTCTGTGAAGTTCAATCGAGGGTAAAAAAAGAAGCTACAATCCACTAATTTTGAGAATTAAAATGAGGATAGCATTACAGCTATGTCAGATGTCAAAAAGAGAACAACTTTATTCAACACATTTGAAAAGGCAGATCTAATGAACAAATTCCTCTAAAAGCACAGCTTGCCAAAACTAACAAGAAAATAAAATACCTTGTTAATCCTATTCATTTAAAGACATTAAATAAATAATCCAAAGCCTTTCACAAAAAGAACTCTTGGCCAACATGGCTTCATGAATTCTACTCAATATTCAAGGAAGAAAAAAGTCTCTTCTAAAAAACATAAAAAAATAATACTCCCCAACTCATTTTAAGAACCCATCATGGATAATATTCAGCTATACCTGTCATTAAAATAGTAAATTTATTTTTTATATTTATAGATATCTGCTGCTCTGAGCCACCACTATGTGTAACACCCCACGGTATCCCTGGATATCACCATAATTCACCTTCCAAAAACCAAAAGGGCCTCCAGGACCCCGTTTTACTCTACATGTGGCATTCTGAATGACCACTGCCCATGTCAGTCAGTTCACAAAATAATCTCACCCTCTAGGTACCATCAGTGGACTCACACAGGGATAAGATGAGCTCTGACTTCCCCATTCGTTTGGCTCAATGAAGCTCAGGGTTGGCACACCTGTAGGCGCAGTACCAGTGTCCAGCAGTCATCCCACTTCAGCTTCCACTGGATACCCTCCATCCCTGTGTGTCCTACCCATAGACCTTCCACCCCTCTGGTAGAGGATGGTCCTTATAAGATAGATGCATTGAAACTACTAACCATGTTCAGGTACATGTCTTAACATTACAGTAAGTATAGCATTAGCTGTATGAAGGTCCTTGTCCATCAATAACGTCTTGAGCTCAGAGACATCATTTAGATCATTCTGGAGAATTTGGGTAGCAGCTAAGAGTATCTGTGTAGCTGCAGAAAGAGAGCAAAAGCAAACGTTTCAACAGCAGAAACAGAGCATATGTTATTAGTTATCACTTAATAGACTCAGGTTGCATAAAATATGAAGATCTGATTCTAGAATTTTACATGGAACAATTTGTATAGTTTTAAAAACTAGAGTGTATTATAATAGCTAACAGTCACAGGGCACTTACTAAGTGCTAGCCGCTGTTCCAAGCAATTTCACTTTACCAAATTACAAATGTCCTTATAATAATCCCAAGATAGGCATTTTCATCCCTGTTTTTCAGATGAAAACACTGAGGTTAGCAAAATTAAGTGACTTACCAAATAATATATTGGTAGTAAGTGGCAGGGACAGGATTTAAGTACAGACCCTATAGTTCCAAAGCCCATCCTCTTAACCACTGTGCCTTTCAAGTAGAAACATATAGGTAGTCAACCTTTATCCCTTGAGCCACATATTACTTCATATGTGGCCCTGAAATCATTGCAAAGCATTACAAATAATCTTTAAATCAAAATTATCTTTCATTATTTAACTTAAAGTTATGTTACCTTAAAATGATTAAACTGATAAATAACCTATAAGCATAATTTTGTTCTAAGAAATTATTAATATTGTGAAAAATAACTACTTCAGTCCTTTGTTGACATGGGTAGCTGCTTCTTCCACTTCTTAGTCAATCTGGCCCCAGTTGAGAATATTGTATAAATAAAATAACTTAAAGGTGAAATAGAAGGTATAGCTGGTTGGATGTAAGAGCACAAACCATGCTCCAATGTGATCCAACAATAATACTACCTTCCATTTATAAGGCAACTACCACATGATAAGCACTATGTTAGAGACTTAACATTTAATACCTGGCCAAATAATCAAAGAAGATAAAGGTAAAATATGGATATTGGGAAGCATTCAAAGACTCAAAAATTACATATCCCATGTTGTTTTACTTTGGAACCTAACGCAAAATGTGCTTCAGCAAAATAAAGGAGTAAATCATGACAGGGATTCAGGAAACATGTGAGCCATCGAATACTACTAAAAAGAAATTCTGGGATGACAGCTGTTTAGTGGGTGTAGGGGAGAAACAATTCAAATCAGAGCATCTAAAGTACATAAAACTGTGTTTGAGTATTTTGAAAATGTCAATATTCAAACATTTTTTATTATGATTTCAAAAATCATAGTCAATGTTTGACTAACATTTCAAACATGATTGTGCCAGAAATGTTCAAAGTCCAAGAAGTGAAATTACCTATGCAACATCATACAACCGGTCAGTAGGAAAAAAAAATTCAAGTACCTAAAATATGACTACAATGTTGTTTTTCATATGCACACACCACCAATTTGCAATCCTTTTTTTAAAGCTTTTAAACATTGTTTTTATTTCTAAACAATCTCAAACTCTCAAAAAAGTTGCAAGTACAGTACAAAAATTTTTTGTCTGAAACATGGGAAAAAGTAATAGGTCTATAGGAAAATACATACTTTTTTTAAAAGATAATTGTTAACTCCAGGAGAAAGAGGAGGCAAGAGATTGCACATGCAAAGAGGCATGGAGGTAATGAGATGACTACTGACTCATCAATGAGCTATTTTGAACAGTCATAATACTACTAATTAAACACTGACTACTGATTTAACCAAAAACTGTGATAGAATTACATTTTTACACACTTGACTCTATAACTTTGTAATCTACCTAATACAGAGGCATGGTCTCAATTCTTACATCTATAGAAGCATTATTAGCCTATTATCCTTTTGAGCATTAAGGTTCTCTTCTTTAAAAAAAGGAATTAACACTGTGAAGATTGGATCCTAAAGAAGCTAGCACTCAAAATGGACCCAACTACGTACACCATTTGAATGAAAAGGATTCCAGTGCCTGGATATAAAAGCAAAATGTGTTTCAAATTCCATTGATATTCTAAAGAAGAAAAGGATAATAAGAAAACTTACATTATTTTTCCAGTAGCACTCAGACAGTAATTACTATGGTAACCTATGCCATATAACAAAGTTATTGGCCAATTGTGTTCTAATTCTGAACCTACCCAATTTTTCAAAATGTAATATATAGGAGGCATAAAATTCAATTTATAGCACTGAATTTTCGAAAAGGAAATCTATTGATTTAATAAAAATGTGATATATTTACATTTTGCATCTCTTGACTTTGTAACTTTTTAATCAGTAGCTACTACAGGGAAATGGTTTTGCTTAATTCTTACAACTATAATATGATATAGGCATTATTATCCTTATTTTGAGGAAAAGAAAACTGAGAATAAGAGAATATATCTAATTTTTCAGGGCCAGTAATTACTATAGTAATCCACATTATATAATAAGGTTATTTATCCATTAAGTTCTTATGATAGTAAACCTATACAACTTTTTAAAATGTGAAATATTTAAGGCGAAAAGTTCAATTTACATCAGTGAACTTAGAGACTTTGGAGACCAAACCACTCTTGTGGAAAATGATCTAAAATCCAAAGAAGTGAAATTATCTAACAAAATCCAGGTACCTAAAATTTGACTACAATGTTATTTTCCGTATACGCATCACCAATTGGCAACCCTTTAAAAAAAATTCTTTAACTTTTTTATTTTTAAACAATCTCAAACCCTCAGAAAAGTTGCAAGTACAGTACAAAATTTTATCTGAAATATCTGAATGTAAATAGCCAACAAAATGCCCCCTCACCATTAACTATATTATTGTGTATTTTCTCCAACGAGAATATTCTCCTACATAATAAAAATACAATCATCAAAATTAGGAAATTATTACATTGATACAATAATGTCATCTAATTCTCAAACCCATTCACATTCTGCTAATTGTCCTGGTAATATCATTTTTAGCAAAATGATACATATTTTGTGAATGCTATAAAGAAGGCACCAGGATTAACTTTTTTATAAATGAACATTCAATTGAAATAACCTCATTTATTTAAAAGGCCATCCTTTCCTTGCTCCACTGCAGTGGTACCTTTGTTGTAAAGGAGATGGGCATATTATGTGTAAATCTCTTTCCGGACTCTGTATTCTACTCTATTGGTTTCTGTGTCAATACCACACTGTCTTAATTACAGTAACTTTGTTATAAATCTTGATGTAAAGCAACGTGAGTTTTACAACTTTGTCTTCTTGAACTTTGCCCTGGCTATTTTGGTCCTTTGCATTTACTCTCATATTTAAAATCAGATTGTCAGTTTCTATAAAATTATGCTAGACTTTTGATTGGGATTGCATTGAATATATAGCTCAAATTGGTGATAACCGAAAGCATATTGAAACTACAAAACATAATGTATCTCTCCATTTATTTAGGTTTTTCTTTAAATTTTGTCAAATTGTTTTGTAGTTTTCTGTTTAAAAATTATAAACTTGTTTCACTAGTTACTCCTAAATATTTACTTTTTTGTACCATTGCAAGTCATATCTTTATTTTCATTTTATAATTGTTTGTGGCAAACTACAGAAATACAATTTTTGAACATAGAATTATAATTTTAAATTGATCATGTATCAAGCAGCTCTGGTAAATTTGCTCATTAACTGAAATACAATAATATAATAACCAGTGTATAGTTTCATGTTTTTCTGCCTATTAATTATATTGCCAATGAATAATGGAAGTTCCATTTCTTCTCTTAATTCTTATCTTTCTTATTCTGTTTTGTCTATGGTACTGGCTAGGACTTTCATACACTGTTGAACAGAAGTGATGATAGTAGACATTCTTGTCTCATTCCCAATCTCCGTGGGCAAGAATTTAAAATTTTCCTTTAAACATGATTGTTGTAGGTTTCTAAAAGTACCCCTTAATATGAAAGGGTGTTGAATTTGATCAAATATGTTTTCTACATCTGTTAAGATAATTTTTCTTCCTCCTTTATTTTGTAATATGGAGAATTACACTTTAATTTTTGTTAATTAATACCAATACTGCCCTCCTAAAAATAACTCAACTTGCGATATATCTTTCCTTTTTATATATCACTAGATTTCATTTGATCCTATTTTATTAAAGCTTTTCCCATTTGTGGTCATGATGGGGACCGAATTATAATTTGGTCCTCATGTAAGGTTTTTATATGAAGATTACATAGGCCTCATAAAACGAGGTTGGAAATATTCTTCCTGCTTCTAAACTCTGAAGGAGTTTATGTAAGAATGGTACGTAGTGTGCCTTGTTTAAATTTTTTTTTTTTTTTTTGAGACGGCCCAGTCTCACTTCTGTCATCTCCAGGCCTGGAGTGCACTTGGCGCGATCTCGGCTCACTGCAAGCTCCGCCTCCCAGGGTTCACCGCCATTCTCCTGCCTCAGCCTCCCGAGTAGCTGGACTACACGTAGGGCGCCCTGCCACCTCCTCGTCTGCTAGTTTTTTTTTTGGTTTTTTTTTTTTCTTTTGTATTTTTTTTTTTAGTAGAGACGGGGTTTCACTGGGTTAGCCAGGATGGTCTCGATCTCCTGACCTCGTGATCCGCCCTTCTCGGCCTCCCAAAGTGCTGGGATTACAGGCTTGAGCCACCGCGCCCGGCCCTTTTTAAATTTTAAAATAACTTACCAATGAAGCCATCTGAACCTGGAGTTACTCTTCAGATTTTCTAATTATTCTTCAGCTACTTTTGGTAAGTTGAGTTTTTCAAGGAATTTGTTCTTTTCATAAAAATTTTCAAATGCATTGGTATAAAAGTATAATTAGTATCTTTTTATGTCTGTGTACTCCATAGTTATGTCCCTTTTTTCATTCCTGATATTGGTAACATTTCTTTTATGTAGATCTCTTGGTAGTGAACTTTGTTTTTTCTTAAAATATTATTTCATTTTTAAAAGATATTTTAATATAGAATACGATGTTCACAGCCTTTAAAAAAGTTTAGTTTTCAATGTTATTCCATTGTCGATGGCATTCATCAGAGATGGACCACAGCATTCTGAAAGACAGGTGCATTTCACCAGCACTGTAACTCCTGAACAGTAATAACCAATAAACTATTGACTCATGAACTAAGCTAGGCTCCTCCAATGATAATTTTGTAAAAATTTTATGTAAAAAAAGCTACAAATATTTATTATTATTATTATCATCATCATCATTATTTAGAGATGGGATCTCGTTCTGTCACCCAGGCTGGAGTGCAGCAGCGTGATCACAGCTCACAGCAACCTTGAACTCCTGGGCTCAAGCGATCCTCCTGTCTTATCTTCCTGAGTAGCTGGGACTACAGTCATGTGCCATCACACCTGGCTTATTTTTAAATTTTTTTTAGGGACAGGGTCTTGCCATGTTGCCCAGGCTGGTCTCAAACTCCTGGCCTCAAACGATCCTCCCCCCATGGCCTCCCAAAGTACTGGGATTTATAGGCATAAGCCACCACACCCAGCCATCAATAACTTTTTTGCTCCTTAGAAAATAATGTATAACTTTTCACTGGTGGCTTTTAGGATTTTCTCTTTGTAGTTGGTTTTCAGCCATTTTACGCTCATGTTCTTAAATATGGTTTTCTTTGTGTTTATCCTATGGCCCCACGAATCCTGACAGGCTTGGTTACTGCCCATTGCCCTTAAACAGTTGTGGTGATTGCTTATGTTGCTTATTGTTTACCAGATTTTATAGTTATTCTATAAAATACAAGCTACTTCATCATATACAGATAGAACCAGGTGAACCAGCTTTACAGATAATTCTAGTTACCCTGCTCTGGTTAAAAATTACTGTTTAGGTTATTACTTTAAACAAAGCTATAGCAATCAAAAACTGATATAGGGATAGAATAAATATAAAAGGAATAGAATTGAGAGTCCAGAAATAAACCCATACATTTATGATCAATTGATTTTCTCTAAGGGTACCAAAATCATTCAGTGGAGAAAGAACAATGTTTTCAACAACTGATGCTAGGACAAGTGAATATCTGGACTAAAAAAGGTAAGAATGGACTGTCATCTCACACCACATACAAAAATTAACTCTAATTTATTAAGGATTCAAATAAAAGAGCTAAAACTAGAAGAAAACTTTGGTGTAAACCTTCAGGAGTTTGGATTATCTTTACGACATCAAAAGAAGCAACAAAAGAAAGTATAAATTGAACTTTACCAAATTCAAAATCATTTATTCTTCAAAGGACATCAGGAAAGAAAAAAGACAACTAACAAAATGTGAAAAAATATTTGCAATTATCTATCTGATAAAGGTCTAATATCCAGAACATATAAATAACTCTCACAACTCAACAATAAAAAGCCTGATTTTAAAATGGATAAAGGATTTGAATACACATGTCTCCAGAAAATCATTGAGGAGAAAGTATATATCCCGGAACAGGTTTCTAATGCAGACAAAAGCGCTCTATTCTGGAAAATAATGCCACAAAGGACATTTATTAGTAGAGAAGAGAAGCAAGCACCAGGACTTAAGAAGGGTAAGCTAGCTCTAATATTTTGTGCAAATGCAGTTAGGTTTAAAATCAGGACTGCCCTGATCCATAAATCTGCTAACCCTCAAGCCTTGAAGGGAAAAAATACACACCTGCTCCCATCTTTTGATTGTATAACAAGAAGGTTTGGAAAACCAGAATGCTTTTTCTAGATTGGTTCCATCAATGCTTTGTCCCTGAAGCAAGGATGAGACTGCCTTTTAAAGTTCTTTTGATATTGGACAATGCCTCTGGCCACCCAAAACTCTATGAATTCAACACCAAAGGCATTGAAGTGGTCCACTTGGCTCCAAATATGATATTAGCCTCTACATTAGGGGGTCATAAGAACCTTTAAAGACTCATTACACATGGTACTCTATGGAAAGAATTGTCAACACTGTGGAAGAAAATCCTGACAGAGAGAATATGAAAGGCTTCAGTAGGATGCCACATCAAGCCCCAAACACTACTGGAGAAAGCTGTGTCCAGATGTTGTGCATGACTGCACAGGATTTATAACAGAGCTAAACAAGATCATGAGAGAGATTGTGGAAATGGTGAGAAAAAAAATGGCAAAGGGTGAAAGGTTTCAAGATGTGGCTATTGGGAGAAATTCAAGAGAATATACACCACACCAGAAGAATTAACTGAAGATGATTTGATAGAGATGAATACTCCCAAACCAGTGCCAGATGACAAGGAAGAAGACATAGAAGAAGCAATGCAAGGAAACAAGTTGACAATCTGGTAGAAGGGTTCCAATTATTCAAGACTGCTTTGACTTATTTTATGATATGGACCCTTCTATGATATGGACACTGAAACTAAAGCAAACAGTGAAAGACTGGTATCAGACAGAAACATTTTTAGAGAAATGAAAAGCCAATAACGTCAGACAAGAAATTATGATGTATTTCCATAAAGGTAAACCAAGTGTCCTTGCCTCTTCTGCCTCCTCTTCTGCCTCCTCCACCTCTTCCATCTCTCCCACTCCTGAGATAACAAACCCAACTCCTCTTCCTCCTCTTCCTACTCAACTTGAAGACGATGAGGATGAGGATGATGATCCACTTACATTTAATGAACAGTCAAGATATTCTATCTTATTTTATTAATAATATTTTCTTTTCTCTAGTTGCATTATTGTAAGAAACAGTATTTTATATATATATACACATATGCCATAAAGATACATGTTAATCATTTATGTTATTGATAAAGCTTCCAGTCAACAGTAGACTATTAGTAATTAAGTTTCAGGGGAGTCTGAAATTATACATGAATTTTTGACTGTGCAGCCACTCATTTTCCAGCCAGTCTCTTGAAGCAAAAGTATCCACTTACCTTTGGACTTTTGGAAATGTGGACTTTCTTTCATTTTCATTAAGCAATCTTTTTTTTTTATTATTATACTTTAAGTTCTAGGGTACATGTGCACAACGTGCAGGTTTGTTACATATGTATACATGTGCCATGTTGGTGTGCTGCACCCATTAACTCATCATTTACATTAGGTATATCTCCTAATGCTATCCCTCCCCCCTCCCCGCTCCCCACAATAGGACCTGGCATGTGATGTTCCCCTTCCTGTGTCCAAATGATCTCATTGTTCAATTCCCACCTATGAGTGAGAACATGTGGTATTGGGTTTTCTGTTCTTGCGATAGTTTGCTGAGAATGATGGTTTCCAGCTGCATCCATGTCCCTACAAAGGACACGAACTCATCCTTTTTTATGGCTGCATAGTATTCCATGGGGGTATATGTGCCATATTTTCTTAATCCAGTCTGTCCTCCATATTATCTAGAAGGTGCCCCTAACCCCCACATTGTTCAAGAGTCAATATAAATGAACTTTGAAAACATATACTATCAGCATGGATATAGCTGGAGGCCATTATCCTAAGTGCATTAACACAGAAACAGAAAACCAAATACTGCATGCTCTTACTTACAAGTGTGAGCTAAATATTGGGTACTCGTGAACAGAAAGATGGCAACAATTGAAAGTGGGGACTACTAGAGGAGGGGAGAGGGAGGAGGGGAAAAGGTTGTAAAACTAACTATTGCATACTATCCTCAGTACCTGGATGATGGGATCATTCATATCCCAAACCTTAGCACCACAAAATATACCCAGATAACAAGCCTGCATGTGTACCCCCTGAATCTAAAATAAAAGTTAAAAAAAAAGAGAAAGAAAGCATATGCTACGTAAAAGAAGTTAGACACAAAAAAATACAATATGATTACATTTATATGAAATGTTCAAAAGAGGCAAATTCATACAGACAGAAAGTAGATTCATGGTCGTCAGTAGTTAGAGAGAGATGGAAATGGAGAATAATTGCTCACAGGTACAGAGTTTCTTTTGGGGTCAAGAAAATGTTTTGGAATTAGAAAGTGATGGTTGCACAACTTTCTGAATATACTAAAAATCACTGAACAGTACACTTTAAAAGGGTGAAATTTATGGTATATGAATTATGTCTAAATTTTAAAAACTACATGTAATTAAAAATACTATAAGGCATCCAATTTTAGAGATATTAAAATGTAAAAAATGTGATACAAAGAAATTTGTTTCATCAAAGCATTTAGAAATACGCCATTGATAAGGGTGTCTGCATTCATGAAGAGTTCTTTGGTAGGTGTTCTCTGCAGACTTGGGGGTTAGGAAAATATGTTGGTGTTGAAATGGTCTCCCTAATTTCAGAAAGAATAAGACGAACCTCAGGGACAGAGGCCAAGCAGAAGTCTTTAAATAGCAAGGACAAAATGATGTGGTTAGGCAACATAGATAGTGTGGTATTAAGAATAATACAGGGATTGACACTGCAGGGATTTAGAAGGACTGATTAACTGAAGTTAGGATTTCTATAACTGAAATAAATGGGCAGTCCAGTTGTGTACATCTGAAAACTCCAGCGGCACAGCTTAAGATTTCACAAAAACTGGTAGTCCCTCATCCAATTCCATACATGATTTAATTCATAGATCCAGAAGTCATTGAAGAAAAACCTAACTACCTTTGAGAAAGGACCTTGCACATATTAATCTTTTTAACCTTGCCTTGTTTTCCCCCTCATTATATCTTTGCCCAATTTTCTTCACTTATTTTTATATTATTATTTATACTATACATCATAAGTGGCTTGAAATCCTTTTTAAAACTAGAGAGACTGAAAACTAAAAACTTGAAATCCAGATAGTCATTTTTAAATGTCATTTTAAAATATTTATTTTCTAGCCATTCTCTTGAACAAGAAGTATTCACTTACCTTTGGACTTTTGGAAATGTGGACTTTCTTTCATTTTAATTAAGAAATCTTTTAAATCCACCTCCATATTATCTGAAAGATCAAAGTCAAAAATGCTGACATTAAAAACCTGATACTGAGTCGGCACATGAAATAAAGACCGATTTACAATAGTTAGCTAAAATTTCACTCTAGCTCAAATGATTGAAACTATTTCAATAGAACTTTTAACACTTTTTAAAACCATCCAGTGAACAGTTAATAATATTACTAGCAAACAATAGCTAACATTTTTTAGCTCCTTATATATACTAGGCACCCTTTTATGGTGTTTTACATATATTAAATCATGTAATCTTCATAATAATTCTATGATGTGGGTACTCTTTGCATGCCTATTTTTGAAAGATGAAAGCAAATGGAAACTAAATAATTTGTCCAGGTCACAAAGTCAGGAAGTGTTAGAGGTTGTGTTTGAATTTATGCAGTCTAAGGCCAGAGGAGACAATGTTATTAGATAGAATACACACATACATGCACATGTACACGTACACACACACACACACACGCATGCACACACACACACACAGTCACACGTGAAGTAACGTGCAATAATGTGACACAGCAGACAATCTAGGGCTGTAATTATATTAAGGAGACTTTGAGTTTAAACAAAATGGCAGACCTGGGTAGTGCAGAAACCATCCCACTACAAATCCCTAGAGACACTCTATAACATGTAACATTCCATGAATGTGTGACTGAGTCATATGAAGGAAATAACAAAGAGTTAACTGGGAACTGAGATCCAGAATGCTAAGCATTGAGTACTAACACTAAAACTATCTTTGGGATAGAGATGAGACCCAAAAATGGCTAGGTGCTTGATTTAAATGCTCATACAGAGTCATTAAAAAAAAGATTCGAGCCCACATAAATAAGAGTAGGAACTTAGATATCAAATAAAACTGAAATGCTTAAAGGGTTTCAATCCTGGTTTTTTAAAAAAGAGATTAAAATATTATATTTATTGACTCAAATAAACAAGGAGGCCTAAATCTTCCCAATTCAGAGAGACAGGGGAAAAAACAATCTCTTGTGATAAACTGAAGGCCCAGTATGCATCTCATGTGGGTGTGAAGTCTAAATTTATACCAGTCTGATGGTGTGAGAAAACTGAGGTCAAAACATAAAAATTGACCTAGGTGAATAACAATCTGGGGAACCTGGCAAAATCAATAACTAAACTGTACTGGAGAGGTATTCTTAAACCTAGGACTCACAGGATTCCCAAAGACACAAATTGGTTAAGATAAGCCCAAAATAAAAGTTCACCAAAAACCAACAGAACTCAGCAGTTTCTAGAAGTATTCCCAAATGATTTGACTTCCTAAAAGTAAATGTGTATAGGAAAGGAGATCAAGTACGTATTACATGCAGTCAAAGACAGAAAACAAAGGTAAATGTGGACTATTTGAAAACAATCACTAAAACTAAATAACTTATTTTTAAATGTAGTGAGCCCTCAGATATTTTATTTGGTTAAAAATCAAAATGGAGCAAGTACTGTAAAAAAACAAATGAAAGCGGATCTCCTCTGAAAAAGACTGCATATCAAAATAAGCTGCTATTGTCATGTTTTTATTTTATTATACAATTTATGGTATTTTTCCACCCATGCTTATAAGTAATGAAAGGTAATTTTCTAAATAAGCACATATAGTATCCATATGAGTATGAATAGATATGTTCAATAAATATTTAAATTAGTAGAGTGGTTTGGCTCCAATTTGTATCAACCTAAGCCTCCAACAGAAAAATGACTCGCATTAGTATATTATCCTTATAGGTATACTCTAAGACTATTTTTCATAAGTAGAAAAAAAAATGAAAAGAATCTCAGGTCAAAAAAATGCTCACCACTGACGTTACAACAGTTAAGGGCTCCATTGAAGTCCTCCTCAGTTAAATTAACATTCAAACATTTCAAGGCATGCTCCAAATCAGGTACACCAATCTTGCCATTATCAACATGTGACAAGATGTTAGCAACTTCTTTAATCTCTACAAAGATAAATGTATACAAGCTATTATGGTGTAAAAAACATTCAAAATAATTTGTCCAAAATTTACCATAGGTAAACCTCAAATTAAATATTTATCTGAACCAAAATGTCTCCAAAGGAAACACAACATTTTCTATTTGTAACTGAGGGCCCACTTCCCTCAAGCAGCACTTGAAACGAAAAAACTTTACGACAAAGAGAATAATACGATGGGCTACTGACATGTATTATAATAAGACTTTATCTTCATTCATTCATCCATTAGAAACTGAATGAGCTACATGCCTCCCTGTACATGTAGATCTAAAGATTTCTACCACTTGATGATGTAAACAAAGGCTAAAATTTGAGATTGAAGCTCTTGATCCCCAGGGCCTCAGATAGTTCACACTGTGCTTTTGTGTGAATTGGGAAAAGGCACCTCCTCTCTATGCATTAGTTACAAAAAAAGGGTACCTGTCAGTAGGCAACTGCAATCCAGCACAGAGGTTCAAGGCTTGGAGTATGAACTGCATTTCAGCCTCCATTTATGCTCTCTCAACAGGCACCTTTGTGCAAAGCACAACCCGTACAACCACATGGGGCAGTCCTGTTGATCTCACACCAATTTAAAATATAAAGCATAATCATTATGTGGTTTTTAATTTTTCTGTTTTTTGTTTGTTTGTTTTTGTTTTTGAGATGGAGTCTCACTCTGTCACCCAGGCTGGAGTGCAGTGGTGCTATCTCAGCTCACTGCAAACTCTGCTTCCTGGTTCACACCATTCTCCTGACTCAGCCTCCCGAGTAGCTGGGATTACAGGCGCATGCCACCATACATGGCTAATTTTTTTTATATTTTTAGTAGAGATGGGGTTTCGCCATGTTGGCCAGACTGGTCTCAAACTCCTGAGCTCAAGTGATCCACCAGCCTTAGCCTCCCAAAGTGCTGAGATTACAACCGTGAGACACCACACCCAGCCTAGTTTTTCATCTGTACCATTTCTCAATCCTTTTTTCCCTCAACCCCCAAATGAAGTTGTCTATGTTTCCATATGCTGAAAATTGTTGCATTACACCAGGAGATCTATACCTTCATGGAGATCACTTGGAAAGAACATCACAATATCATCTGAGACCTACATTCATTCTACTAACAGTTATTTTACAACTTCTAAGATCAACAATAAAATATTCAGTCAGTCCCTCGTATCAAAGAGTTTCAAGTAAATTCCTTGATGAAGGAGACTAAATCTGTCATATCTATAAACAAAATTATAATATGTCATATAGTAAGTGATATGAGAAAAATACACAAAATTATGGAAGCACTGAGAAGGTTTACCTAACCTAGATTTAATAAGTGCTGAACTCTGGGAAGGAAGTCTTAGGGCATGAGAAATGACATTTGAGCTGAATTTGGGGGGGAATTGTCAGTTTGTCTGTCAGAGAATGTATCCAAAGGAAACAGTATATGCAAATAAATGCAAAAACAAATAGAGCCAATTTAAATTATGCTAAGTAGTATGACTACAGAATAAATACAAACACAGAAGTGATAAAGGGTGCGTCTGAAGAGATAAGAAGACAGATCTACTCAGTCATTCGTTCAATAAATATTCATAATTATGAGTTAATAACAAAAGATTTGGAACAACAGCATAGTAAATATTACATAAGTATCAGGAGTTAATATCAATTATCTTTAAGAGTTTAATAAGAGCCAGGACTGTGCTAGGTCCTGGAGATACGATGGTAAGCAAAGTGGTGACATATTCTTTGGCCCAATGATACCAGGCAAGTGGGAGGAAGAGATATCAATCAAATAATCAAAAACAAAAATGGATATTTATAATATGAAATAAGTGCTATGAAATGGACAGAATTTAATAAGAGCATATAACAAAGGAAACAAAAAGATCTGACCTATACTGACCACTGATGATAGGCTTTTCTATAATTGACTCATGGAGTCAAAAGAGATTATTCTCCAGGTTTAAGACTTAATGTTGTTTTCCCTTTTTGGTTTCGGACTTACTTGGGACCAATTATCCCTTTCTTCTCACTCATTTCTCCCTCCTGGAATGGATATGTCTATCCTATGCCTGTGTTTTGGAAGCATGCAACTTGCTAATTTCACAGGCTTACAGCTGGAGGAGAATTTGCCTCAAGATGAATTGTGCCTTGAGTCTCACCCATCTGACAAAGATGAGACTCTGGAATTTGGACTTTTGAGTTGACACAGAAACAAGTTAAGACTTTTGGGGCTACCAAGATGGAATGAATGTATTTTGCACGTGAAAAGGGCATGAATTTTGAGGGCCAGGGGTGGAATGCTATGGCTTGATTGTGTCTCCCAAAGTTTATGTGCCGAAAACTTAATCCCCAATGCAACAGTGTTGACAAGTTGGGCCTAATAAGAGGTGATTAAGTCACAAAGGCTCTGCCCTCATGAATAGATTAATATCAGTGATTCAGTTATTGCAAGAATGGGCTTATTATAAAAGTAAGTTCAGTCTCCTCTTGCTCTCTTGCTCTCTCAAACTTTCTTGCCCTTCTGCCTTCTGCCATAGTATGACACAGCAATAAGGCCCTCACTAGATGTGGGCCTCTTGACCTTGGATTTCCCAGCCTCTAGAATTGTAAGAAATGAATCTTTCTCTCTCTCTCAATCTCTTTTTTTTTTTTTTTTTTTTTTTTTTTACAAATTATCCAGTCTGTGGTATTCTGTTACAGCAACACAAAACGGATTACAACAGTAGGCAAAGAGGATCAGGGAAGAATATTCCAGGGAATAGAATATGCAAAAGTCTTGCGGTGGGAGGAAAGGGGAGTATCTAAGGAACTAAAGTAAAGTCAATTTAGTTGAAGTACAGAAAGCAAGGATAATGGTACAAAATAACACTAGAAAGATAGGGCATGGAGGATTTTAATTTTTATCCTAATAACAACAGGAAATGTTAAAAGAGTTATAAATAGGGGGAGGTAACATGCTTGTGAAAAAATCTGGCTGAAGTGGGCAGGAAAGATTAGAAATACATTGATACTTGGCAATTATTCTATAAAATACCTCTTATTATTGAAAATGTTCTCATATACAAAGTTCTTACTCACCGTTCACCTTTGGTAATTTTAGATTTGAAGCCTCTTTCCCAAAATCTGCAAATTTAGAAAGAGACATTACACAATGAGGAATGGCATCCTGATCTTACCCCGTTTGAAAGGAAACCAATGGATAGATTGAACACTTCTTTTCCCACTAACATTTATCATTGATAACCATTCCCTTCTTCTCAAAAGTTGTTCCCTGGCTCCCAAAATATCCATTCTCTCCTCATTCTTTGCTTACTTCTTGGGCTCCTTCATGGTTATCTTCCACTAACTCCTTAAATGTGGCAGTTTCTAATGTCACAGATGCTTCCTTTCTCCCTAAGGGGAAAAGTAAATCCCCTGCCCATCTATTCAATAAAATCCTTAATTATTAGTCTAAATTGTCCTTCTTGATCTCTTACCTACCTATCTACTATCTAGTCCTAGAATTTTTCCTAAGAACAAGTTATAGTTATACCCATTCACTCTACATACTTCCCACACAGATGCAAGTTGGTATAAAGATCTGAGGAACAAACGATAGAAATAAAATCTGTCCATTTGCATAGAAGGACTCTATTGTATTAAAGAACAGTTTAGAATGACTCACAACTAGCCCAGGTATTACCTTGAAACAAACAGAGGTTAGAATACACATAAATTATATTTGCCTTAATTTGTGTTTTTATTTGTTTTAAGCAGGATAAACAAAACAACTAACCTATAAAAAGTACTTTTAAAATAGTAGGTTTGGGCAATTTTACATGATAGCTCCCAAGATTTCTGAACTGTTAATATTTTTGGCCAGATAATTATTGGGGGGACAAGGGTATTATCCTGTAAATTATAGGATGTTTAGCAGCAACCCTTGCCTCTATTCACTAGATGCCAATAGTCCTCTCGCATCAGTTGTGATAACCAACACTGTCTCTAGATATTGCCAAATATTCCCTGGTGTGAAGAGGGGGGCAATGGGGAATTTGATTATACTTTTTATTTTGTATTTATTTATTTATTTATTTGAGATAGAGTCTTGCTCTGTTGCCCAGATTGGAGTGCAGTGACGCTATCTTGCCTCACTACAACCTCAGCCTCCCAGGTTCAAGCATTCTTGTGCCTCATCCTCCCAAGTAGCTGTAACTACAGGCACGGGCCACCATGCCAGGCTAATTTTTGTATTTTTTTAGTAGAGACGGGATTTCACCATGTTGGTCAGATTGCTCTCAAACTCCTGACCTCAGGTGATCTGCCCGCCTCGGCCTCCCAAAGTGCTAGGATTATAGGTATGAGCCACTGCCCCCAGCCTGATTACATTTTTTAGCTGAAGCTAAATTTAAAGGCAGGAAATGGCTTTCTAAATATGGGGTAAAATCCATCTCAGTACATTTAAGCTGAGGGTATATAGATGGATCAGGTAAATCTTTGTAAATAAAGTAAACAACAACTCAACACAATTGGCTATAGAAATAAACATTAGTTTTTCAACAATACCTTGTACTTTTCAAAGGGCCTTTCATCCAAAAACAGAAAGCTACAAAACCATTAAGACTTCTCTAAAACACATGAAAGGAAAAGGATTAACTTTGAAACAAAATTATTCTTCAAAGCCATGCAACAAATATATAAATACTCTGAGACCAATTTTACAACCCAGGTCATCAGATCACCCAGGAATTTGATACTGTAATGACTAAATCTCTGTGGGCACATATAACGTATAGACCTGAATATGGTCTACAGTAAAGTGTCCAACAAGTTTATGATGTGATTTAGGGACCAAGTATTAAGACTTAAATAATACTTGGTAAAATAGTTTGAAATCCTTGGATAAAAATTTAGAAGAACAGTAATATCAAACATTTGGACTAGAAAGCCCATGGCTGACCTCCCTAAATTAAAAAACAACAACAACAAACAAAAAAACAACTAAAAACTAAATAAAATTCAGAAGAAATTTTTTATACAAGCTGCTGGTTATCTGTCAAATCAACTCACCTTCAACAAAGGAGTCATCTGTTACTTCTTGAAGTATGTCATCAGTAAAAGAAAGCCTATCAGTGTTTTCAAGTACATCTGGATTTTTGTCTTTGTCAAACTGACAATTTTCTTTCATGGAGTCCAATGTATTGATAGTCTCATTCAATGCTACAAACAGAGAATATATATACAACATGTAATTCAGTCCATGGATCTAAATCTTTTGAGCATAACAATAAAATTGATGGCCTCTTTGAGATCTACACTGTCAAATAAGGCAGTCACCAGCCACATGTGGCCATTTAAATATTTAGAGTGGTCCATCCTCTACTCTTATAATTTTCTATAACCCTACTTCAATAGTTTTCTCCACTCCAATAGCTTTCTATTTGTAGCTCTAATAGCTAAAAATAATCCTTTTCTTTATTCTTAAAATTGATTTGTTAAATGTCTGGGTTTGAGGTGAGCTATTCTGCTACAGACAAAAGTATGCTAAAGTTTCCCTAGTTATTCTGTTGATAAGTGCACCATTTCAGTAAAGTCCCCCTATTCCTCATAACTCCTCCTAAATGCCAATTTTTCTCTTTCCTTCCCTGCATCCCTTGTTTCTGTCAGCTAACTTCACCCATTTTAGAGAATCCTCATAGCCTCTTAAGTTTAGCACAGTAACAAACATTTGGACTAAGAAGACCATGGCTGACCTCCCTTGATTTAAAAAATGTTAACAGTTCACATTTCCAAAGTGTATTTCTAAAAAGGCATCTCTCAGGATTTTGTTCTATGATATAGTCAATTGTCATTGGTAAGAAGTTTCAAAAACAGGTCAGTGAAGAACAGTTGAAGGGATATTTGAGTCCAGAGAGAAGATTCATTTAGTGGGAAGGAAAGAGAATATGTGAGTTATTTTGACATTTCTGGAAGGCAATAAATGGGAGGAAGAGTTCAAATGTTAAATATGGTTCCAGGAAATTTCCACCAAATATGTGGAATAATTTTCTAGTTCTATAGCTGTCAAAAACTATAGAATGAGCTACTTCAAAAAGTCATAAGGACTTCCAAGAGTGAAATGAGTGAATGTACGTTACCTAGCCTATCCCTGCAACCAACTAATTTTGATTTTGATTTTTAAATAGTAAATACAAAAGTTGAGGGAATTCTGTCTCTAATAAACTAGGGAACTATCAAACCCTCTATTACAGTCCTCATTCTCTGACAAAAATAAAATACAACTAGATATAAACAACAAATTTAAGGCAACAATGACATTTAAATTGCTTTGAAATTTGGCCAGGTGTGGTGGCTCATGCCTGTAATCCCAGCACTTTGGGAGGTCAGGAGTTTGAGACTAGCCTGACCAACATAGTGAAACACCGTCTCTACTAAAAATACAAAAATTAGCTAGCCTGACCAACATAGTGAAACACCATCTCTACTAAAAATACAAAAATTAGCCAGGCATGGTGGTGTGCACCTGTAATCCCAGTTACTCAGGAGGCTGAGGAAGGAGAATCCCTTGAAACCGGGAGGTGGAGGTTGCAGTGAGCCAAGATTGCGTCACTGCATTCCAGCCAAGGAGACAGAATGAGACTCCATCTCAATAAATAAATTATATAAATTGCCTTGAAATTTAAAGTTTCCTCCTAAATAACTCTTAGATCAAGGATAAAATCAAAATGTAACTGGAAATATTTATAAAATAACTATAATAATAGCCTAACAAGTCAGAGACTGTTAGATACACCAAAGTTTCACTAAAATGAAAATCGACTGCCTTAAACATGTTTATTACCCAGTAAGAAAAAAAAATAAAGTAAATAAATAATTTAAATAAGAAATTAGAAAAACTATTAAATGAGCATAAGGGAACAATATAAAGGACTTACTAAAGATAAAGCCAGAAATTAATTTTTAAACTATAAATAGAAACACTAAAGATAAACCCAAGAGCTAGTACTTTAAAAATAGAGATAATAGAACATTCAGTAGCAAACAAAGAAGAAAGTTATATATATACATATATATATTTAAGAATGAGAAAATAACCATATATACAAAAAAATGAGAAGAATTAGAAGTGCACAGGGCTGTCCTAACAGTCTAAGCCATTTTAAATCTCAATAAAATTTAAAATTTCCTAGAAGAATCAAATTACCAAACTGACAAAATGAAACAAAAGATGGCAAAAAGCAATCCACCAAAAACAAAGCCAAAAAATCAAAAATAAACTAGAAAAAAACCTGAAATGGGTAAGACAAAGTATTAATGCTCCTATCAGAATTTTTAATAAATAATACCCGCTGTTGATAAAGGTGTGAATTTCCACAAACCTTTAGGAGGGTAATTAGGCAGTAGCTTGTTAACATTTTACATTTAAAAATACTTTGGCCCAGCAACTCCACTTCTAAGGAATTTGCCCTACAGAAAAATTGGTGTGTAACGTGCACAAAGATATATGTACAAGGATACTCACCAAATGTTTGTAATAGTAAAAAATAGCAATAACCCAAATATTTATTAAAAGTATTGTGGACAAAATTATAGTTCATTCCTCTAATAGAACATTATGCAGTCTTTTAAAAGAATGAGGTAGGTTTACATAATATAGTGGAACACAGAATTATATCTAAGATATACTGTCATATATTGCATTCAAGTTGTGCAATATTATGGACAGATGTAAAGAAGAAAGCCTAAAAGGATATTTATGAAACCTTCACATGGATATTTCTGGAGGGTAACATTAATGTTACAAGAGACTTGCACTTTATACTTCTTACATTCCTGGTCATTTGAGATTTTTACAACATTAAAAAGAACCATTCATTCATATATAATAACGGTGTCTTATTTTAACTATTGGAAAAGATCATAATCTTGTTATTTGTCCAATCTCCAATCACAAATGTACAATTCTTAAATTTCAAAATAAAATGCAGGAAGTTCCCCATAACTGAAAGTGTTCAAGTACACATGAAGCAAACATTTGGCATAGATACTATAAAGAAGATTTAAACACCAAATTTAGTGTTTTACTAGATGAACTTTGAATAAGTTCTGTATCGTTGCCTTCTAATAGTTTTACCATAAAGCTCTTACCAATATAATTGGAAAATTTCTGGGTGTCCCTCAAAGCCCTCATACAGTCTTTAATGTTCACCATGTTATCTTCTGCAAGGAAAAGAGAGAGATGACAAACAAGAACCCCTGGACAAAGTAATGCTTAAAGGCTAGTATCAAAATCAGCATATGGCTTATATATTTCTTGAACATTTTATTTACAAGGTACTTCTAGATTCAATTTCATACATTAAGCCTCACAATAACCCTACAATGTTGTAGGTATACTAGTTCTGATTCTACCTATAATGGGAACTGAAGTACAAACAAAGCCCCAGTAACTCTGACCAGTAATTCCGTCAAAGGTGGCAAAGCTAGAATTTCTATTCACAGAACTTGAATTTCTAAGATGTTCTTCATTCACTAAATCAAGATAGCAATGAGGACAAAGGATTCTAACAAGCCCACTTCCACAAAATCTAGACCTGCTTGTATAAAAGTATTCTCATAACTGCAAAAGAGGAAATTAAAAGGAAAGGCTCCGTTTCCAAGATTACATTTATAGTAAGATAAGCAAATACCTATAGACCTTGCACATCTTCTTTACTCATTTAAAAAAAAAAAAAAAAACCTGAGAGTAATATTTAAAATGCTTACCAGAAACAAAATCTGATTGAAGAATTTTCTCTACCTCTTCTTTAGGTGACTTAATCCCAATATTTCTTAGAAAGTCTTCCAAGTTCTCCTCAGCTATCATGTCACCTTCAAGCAAATCAGCAGCTAAGACAACTTCCTGTAACTCTATAAATAGAAAAAAAGTTAATTGATAAAAAGCAGTAGCCATCACTCAAGACATTTGTTAGTGGAAATCCATAGTTTATTATTATATTCTGAACTGAGGAATAAGAAATCTCAGAGAGAAATTTATCTCTTATAGCATTCTATGGCCAGCAGCCCAATGTACAAAGAGTTCTCTTGATCTATCACATTTCTCTGGTGCGTTTATAAAATTTGCACAACCAAAATCACTCATATAGCTGAACTTTTCACGGCAATTATACAAAGTAATTATTTTGTTGTGGACCTCTAATGGTAGCAAATAAAATTATTTAGATATAGGAGAAATAACTTTCAGAATTATGAAAAATGTAAAATATGGGACAAGATTTACAAGGGCTCATTCAGTTTTTCTTTTCAATTCCACCAGGACTCAACTGTACCCTAGCATCTGGAATGTTGCTTTACTTCCAGCACTGGTTAAGTCAGACCAACATTCAAATTCTGGCTCCAGGATTTGTAACCTGGAACTGTGCAACTGTGAGCAAATTATTACTACTTAACATCTCTTTCGTCTAAAATGGGATAATACTAATATCTACCTCACAAGGTTGATGTGGACAGTAAATATAATAACGTATAAAAAGTACTTAAGACAGCATTAGACATATAATAATGCCTCAATAAATGTCATATTTATAGAATAAAATTAGTTTTATTATTATTATTAAAGTCAACAGAAACTAGCTGCAAATAGTAATCACAGTTTAAGCCCTACGTCCTGCCTCACTTTCTGTTCCTCTAACATCACTGGGAGGCAACTACAGATGGCAATCTGAGCTTTGCTGACACCCAAAAAACCTGTATCAGCTCTGCTTTCTTGCCTTAGCACTTGATTTCCTTTAAAAACAGTTTCTTTGCACAACCACCTTGAGTAGAGTCTGCTCATGCTCCCATGTTCCACATACTGTAGGACCAGGAAGCAGAATAGTACTTTCCTGTCTTTCTGCTGCTGCTGTCAGGCCATTTTAATTCTACCTTCAATCAAACCTTATCCCTCTCCCTTGAGGCTCAGGCCTGTTATTCAACTATGTCACTCTCCTGACAACAGTATTGATTACTGTCTGATCACTCCTTTATATTCTCTGAGGATTTTGGCACTTTGATCATCATCCTCCTTCTACCTCTCATCCCAATATCATCCAATGACAATAAGGATGAGCCTGGCCTCAGAGCACTTTGACCTCTTAACTTCAAAAGGCCTTTATTTCCTTTCCAAAGTCATCCACACCAATGGCTACCCTTAATCCTTATCATTTCCTGGAACTGTCTATTCCACCTCTAAAATCTTAAATTACAAGGTCAGACACTGACCATATTCCCTTAAAATTACATGTGTAGATACAGAAAGAAGGCATAGAACCTCAAACTATGCCTATTCTCTTGGCTCCTCCAAGTTCTTTAACAAATAGTCTAGACAGAGTAAACCAGCTTTATCAGTTAGTAATGAAGGATACATTCTGAAAGCCAAGTTCCTATATGCCAGTCAATGTTTCATCAAAACCAAGTTTCATCTGTGTATAAACATATCAATGCCAACATGTTAACCAGAAATTAGGTGAACACACAGCATTAAAAACAAAAACAAAAATAAGTCCTTTCAATAAAAGTAAACCTAACCATTATAAATAATTCAGTACTTACCTTCTAACCTGGCAGCATCACGCATATTCCTTACTACTTGTGCAAATTCTTCAAATTGTACTTTGTCACCTTCTGTGAGAAAAAACACTTTTAATAGACCAACCTCATTAAGCAAAAGTCAGATCCAACAAAGCAACCTATAAAAATGTAAACCATTTGACGCACTTATAAGAATCATATTTCCTTTTCATATTTTTGAGTAACCAAAGGATTGATTTTATGGGATTAATAAATATTAAGACTACAGAAGTCAGGCTGATGGCTGGGCAAGGTGGCTCATGCCTGTAATCCCAGCATTTTGGGAGGCTGAGGTGGGTGGATCACAAGGTCAGGAGCTCAAGACCATCCTGACCAATATGGTGAAACCCCATCTCTACTAAAAAATACAAAAATTAGCTGAGTGTGGTGGTGTGTGCCTGTAGTTCCAGCTACTTGGGAGGCTGAGGCAGCAGAATTGTTTGAACCGAGGAGGTGGAGGTTGCTGTGAGTCAAGATCTCACCACTGCACTCCAGCCTGGGTGACAGAGCAAGACGCCATCTCAAAAAAAAAAAAAAAAAAAAAAGTCAGGCTGAGTTCTCAATTTCAATCAATGGAAACAATTAATCCATATTCCCAAAAGATAAACCAAGATATACTCTAGACAAAATTAAGAGACATACCTCAGTCTTAGTTTTGTCTTTCAATTGTTTAAAGATAAAAATTCTATACCAGAAAACTTTAAAGGTTTCTTTCGTGCCTGATAGGCCTATGATTATAATTTCTGATATGTGTTTACACCCATTTCTTACACAGTACACAAGTACTAGATTACAAAGTTAAAGTGACGAACACAGGAAACAGAAGCAGCTTTGTTTTCCCAGCCAGGAATAAGGAAGCTTAAGATTTAGAAATATTATAGTTTATTATCATAGACTAGAACAAAGTACAACAAGCAAAATGTGTCACCAGCAGATAAAAGCCTGAACAGGGCTTAAGTATATAGCCACAATTAACAATGTCTCACCTTCTATCTACCTTGGCTTTAAATTAACACTTGAACTTTTAGGAACTATTTTCTACAGTAAAAACACATGTCTTTATTGTAGTATTTTTGCTGCTTCTGTCATTTAGTAGAGTCCTATATATCACTAACTGTAAAGGCTCTGTCCCTGAATCTGTGTTCTCTCTCTGATGGGAGAAGGATAGAAGTGTTCATACATTTCATTCCTCATGCTTCTTTTATACTTTTATACCATTCAGGATGGCCTTCCACTAGCCTCACATCAATCAACAAGGTTACATAATCAAATATTCTAAGACCATGTTATATAAAGACGTTCTTAATTAAGTGTCTTCAATTTACAGTAGCTTAAAGATCAGCTTAAAGGAGGCAACAGGTATTGTAACTCAGTCACCTAAATAGAGTCCCCTCTGAATCTAGTTCTTGGTATGTATAATCAAGTAGAACTAAATCACAGCTACTTAGAATTCTGGGAGGAAGGGAAGGGAAGGGAAGGAGCGGGGAGGGGATGGGAGGAGAAGGGAGGGAAAGGAAGGAGAGTGGGAAGGGAAGGGAAGGGAGGAAGAGAGGCAAGGAGGCAAGGAGGCAAAGGAAGAAAGGAAGCAGGGAGCCATCTGAGGTCAACAGGTACTGACAACACCAACAAAATTTACAGGTGATCTAACAAAATTTACAGTTAGCTTTGGACCTATTTACCAAGGGACCCAAATCTATAAGCATGACCTGCAATCTCATTTGATCCTTTGGTTCATATAACTTGCTGAAATAGAATAGCAACTATCAATATTAGGAAAGATTTCCTGGGTATCTTTAAATAAATCCTGAGAAAAGAGATGTGAATGGATAGAGCTGCTGTCAAGAATTTGTAGCTCAATTATTCTTTGCTAAACCACCATAACAGGGTTAATCACAGCTGATGCCAGGTTGCAAAATTAGAGCCTGAAACAAAGACTCAGATCTGGCTTTAATGGATATTGCATAAAAAATCATGAAGATAAGTTTAGAGTCTTGTTGCCAAGCCAAAAAGAAAACAAAGTTATTAAGCTAATTTCAACCACATCAGATATCAGAGTCAGGAGAAACAGAGAATATCAGTTTAAGTTTAAAAATCTAAAACAAATGAAGCTAGAGAAACCACCAGCAGAGAAGAGACTGTCCCAGGCCTTAAATGCCTAACACCACCTATTAATGATTTCCTTTAATTCTTAGCCTATGGATTCAATGTCTCACATTCACCTTGACCATTTTCCATACCATCTTACATATTTTTGCTCAACACCAACTTTCTTCACTCAGGTCTTTCAGAAGAAACAAGAGAGCTCATAAGCTATATAACTAGATATTTGGGAAGCATTTCTGAATTTGCCAAATGATAAATTACCTTTTCTATTTTTCAATGCTTTTTTTGTAATCATCATAAGATTATTTTTTAATTTTAAATATATTTTAAAATATTAAGGAGTCAATATGGAATACTGCCAATAACCAAGAACTCACTCTTCAGTTTCACTAGAGAGAATCTGAATCAGTTGTTTTTCAGGTTTGTTTTTTCTTTTTAACATAACCTGGTCAAAAGAATACCCTAGATCAGTAATTTTAATTTCTTTCTTACGTTTCTAAGGTCTTACGGAGCTGTTTCAGCAGTTCACTTGGTCATTTCTCCCACTTTGGTCAGAGAAGCTCAACTTTAATATTTTATATATTAGGAAACTGCATAAGATTTAATTTGGAAAAAAAGCATTCTGCTTCAACAATATCAAATATAAACAAAAATAATAAATCTCAAAATTTTGCAAGCCACTGCATTAAAATAAGAACTAAATATGTTTGTACTAAGGGCACAATGTTAAAAGAAGAAATGATGTGAAAAAAGGCATACAGATACAGTTTTCAATATCACATGTATATTTAGGCTTAAATTGTAAAATCATCTGCATTTAATATACTGTCTTTTGCTTCGTAAGTACAGAATAATAAACACAGGCCTGGTGCAGCAGCTCATGCCCGTAATCGCAGCACTTAGGTAGGCCAAGGTCAGAAGATCACCTGAACTCAGGAGTTTGAGACCAGCCTGGGCAACATGGCAAAACCCCGTCTCTACAAAAAATTAGCCAGGCACAGTGCTGTGCACCTGTAGTCCCAGCTACTTGGGAAGCTGAGGCAGCAGAATTGCTTGAACCCGGGAGGCAGAGGTTGCAGTGAGCTGAGAGTGCGCCACTGCACTCCAGCCTGGGTAACAAAGCAAGACCTTGTCCCCTCCAAAGAAAGGATAATAAACACAATATATGAGTTTTTATTATAATAAAAATACTTTTCTAGTTATTTTCATATCTCATAAAATAATACTTTGTTGGTCTGGTTCAAATAAATGCTATCTATTACTTTCTGTGGTACATGCTTCCTATAAATTCCACTAATTTTAACAAAAGAACCTGAAGCACTGCCACAGAGAAAAAGGGAAGAAAATCTATATTATTGGGTAGAAATTAGCCTTCTTTTCTTCATCAACCCTTTTCACCTCAAATCTTCCAATAAACAAAATAATCAATACATTTAAAGCCCAAAACTGCTAGCCTCAACTAAACAGAAGCTCAATGGATGAAAAGGATAAAAAATTATTACAGAAAAAGACAATTCTTTGACAAAGACCCCTGACAGCATGCTTATGTTACTAATCTCATTCTGTATAAACATTTCACATAAAAGAATATAAACGTACTAGGCACGTTTTTAACTTCTAGACACTAAGACTATGAGAGAGTAGAAATGTCTACCTGTAGCCTATGTACTCTCCTTCCTGCATGTAGAATATCAACAGTAAATGATGGAGATTTGCTTTACATTTTTTGGTCTACAGTCTTTATTATACAATACCTTTTTGAACTTTGTTTTTATTTGTTTGCTTTTTTTTTAACTTGCTAAATAGAGGTGGTAGCTATCAGCAGGTGTGTTTTTCTGCCAAATTAAATAAAAGCCTATTTCAACAAAACAGTATGAATATTCCAAGTAGTTATTATAAAATTTGAATAGATGTCTTAACATTTCCTAATCATGTCCTCTGTGTTCATTGGGATATGCCATTTTCCAGTAACATACCACACAACTTGAAGGAACTCTGCATATTTGATCAATTTATAGTAGTAATAAATTACATAACAATATTTTTATATTGAATAGCCAAACAAGCTGAACTTTCTTTATACAGTATTTCCTAAATGCATATATTGGCATTTTAATCATATTGGAACACTCCATCTTGCCAAGTTCAAGATACAATGACAAATAAGAGTTGACAGAAAATAAAGTAATACCTTGGTATACTTTTTAATTTTAGTATTTGTAACACTCACCATCAACTGTAACTAGTTTCAATGCAGCTAGAAATTCATCCTTTTTTAAATTACTATTCAAACTAGACAGAATATTCCACAGGTCAGAAACACTCATCGTCTCCTTTCTGAGATTGTCGAGGGTTTCAATAGCATCAGGCAATACTAAAGGGTAGATAAAACACAAGTTTTATGAATGCTTATCCAAGAAGTTCACACAGTAAACTGTCATCTGGAATAGACAAAAATTAAGGTTTTTACGGTTTAAAAGAATAATAAATATAGCATAAATGAACTGCCAACTTTCAAATATGAAAACATAATAAAATATTTAGCCTCAAATATAATGTATTTTTGAGGATCTTGAAATATTTTAAGAACTTAGTGCCCCAACCCTGAATAAACATTATAAATAATAATTTTTATTGAATTTAGATTTTTTAAAGTGTGAATTCAGAAACATTTTCAATTGATAATACAATTAAGTAGCTTTTGTTCTATATCTCTCCCTAAAATTCTCCTCTGGCTCCTACTTCCTCTTCAATCTATTACTGTAGACAATAAAAAGAAAGACTATTTCAATGCAAAATCATTGAAGCATCTTAAACAAAGGAGTGAAATTATCTTACTACAAATTTGTAAAAAGTCACTGTGTTGCTATATAGAGAATTGATTCTCAGGAAGATTAGACAGTTAGGAAGAGCCAGCAGACATTAGTGACCAATATTTTATTTATAACCTGTACGATCTTCTCAGCTGTGTGATTTTCTCCAGAAATGCTGTCAGACACAAGAAGGAAGGTAATTGGGTTCATTCGGGGTTGAGAGTTTTGCCAGATAGGTGCAACAAAAGTACACGGAGGCAAGATAGTCTAGGGTATTAGGTATGTATAGACAAGATAATTTAAACCAAATAAGGAGGAAAAGTGAAAACAGGAGGAGACTGATAGATTAGGAGAAAGCGGAGGGGTAAAGGGATGTAAGGTCCCAATGAGGTATATGGAACCAATAAAGAAGACATGCTCTGAGCAGTCTAATGAAGAAAAAAGAAAAAGAAGTAAACACAAACATGCAATATTAACGATGAGATGTAAAATACAATGACAGAGATAGATTAGGTAATATACTATATAACTCTGTGCTAATAAAATTTTAATCTCCATAAAACTGAAATTCCTAGGAAAAATGAAGTAACTGACAAACTACCTCTTTCTCTGTATGATGTACCCCTGTATAGGAGACAAATTAAATCTTATATTGTAAGGTTAAAAAAAAGTTGCTACTTAAAATCTACTGTTACCTAACATGTAAGAACAAAATAACACAATGTTACTTTCAGTCCCAATTTTTAGAATGCATACTAATTTCACTCCATTAAAAATATACATATGTGACCTTACATTTCTTTATGGTGAGCTTCTGAGCAGCAAAACTATCTTTTCCATATTACCACACTTACAGCTTAACATAAAGCCTAGTACATATTAAAGGTTCATAAATGTTACTGAATAATTTGGAAGACAGAAATGGCAACAGATGTAACCAGAAATTCTCATATTAGTACTCAGCCACTAGATGGCATCATTTTTCCTAAGTTGAAAGACATTTTAAATCCCCAAAAGGAATGCTATACATGGTTCCAGCCCTCTATAAGTGTGCTAATGAAAAATAAAATTATGATAGCTCTTAATTCACTTGCATGTAGAAGACGTTCTAGAATTAGGGGTCATTACAGGGGATTAAAGCCAAATACAGCAGCAGGAAGCCAGGCATTTATTTGTCAGATGATCTGCAGGATAACCAGCTCTATAAGAGACTAAAATAGAGTGTTTACGCTCTTCTAAAATCTGTCAAACCATTTGGTCCACAAAAAGCAGAAGACGTGATATTCTTACATACATAATTTTTCAGAGAAGCATTCCGTGTTGCTCATCATAGTATCAATGAATTCTCTAAAATTCACTTTTTTTGTTTCTACAGGAAAAAGAAACACATTTTCTTCAGTATCTTTTAAGTATTAAATTATTATGAAAAATATTATGTAAAATAAGCTATATATTCAGAAATATATAATTATATCCATCAGGTAATACTAACCAATAAAAATACATGGGTATAAAGGGGAAAAGCAAATCAATTTACAGTAGAGAAGTAAACACTGAAAAACACCAAGAAAACTGGTGAAAATTCTTCCAGTCCTTCTCAAGCATACATAATATTTTTAACTTTTATTTACGTATTTATTTATTTTTGAGACAGAGTCTCGCTCTGTTGCCCATGCAATCTCAGCTCACTGCAACCTCTGCCTCCCAGGTTCAAGCGATTCTCCCACCTCAGCCTCCCAAGCGGCTGGGATTACAGGCACGTCACCATGCCCGGTTAATTTTTGTATTTTTAGTAGAGACGGGGTTTCCACTATATGAATACACAATGGTGTATACTGCAATTTATTTATACATTCTGTGGATGAATATCATGTTGCTTTCTTTCTCTTTTTTTGCCATTAAGATCAGTGCTGCCATGTACATTCTTGAACATGCTTCCTGGTACTTAAGTCCAAGAGATGTTCCAGGATTTATAGCTAAGAATAGTATTTCTAAACTATGGGGTATGCAAACTTTACAAGATACTGCATATTGTTTTCCAAAGTGGTTTTACCACTTTCACCATATTTACCGGTACTTAGAATAACATATTTCTTAATTTTTCCCAATTTTAGTGGATATAAAAATGTATCTCATGAGCCAGGCATGGTGGCTTGTGCCTATAGTCCCAGCTACTCAGGAAGATGAGGTAGGAGTTTGAGCCCAGGAGTTTGAGGCCAAAAGATCTCTCTCTTTTTTTTTAAGTACCTCATTATGACCTAAACTTTGCACTTCCCTAATTACTAAGGATGTTGAGAACCTTTTCATGTGATTATTAGCAACTTGTGCCTTCATGTGGAAAATTTTTATAATTTCTATTGAGTTGTTAGTTTGTAAAAGTTGCCTATATATTCTCTATGATAATCATCACTGTTGTGAGTGTTGTAAATAACCAGTTTGTGCCTTGTATTTCACTCTCTTTGTTGTATCCTTTAACAAAGAGAAGTTCTTAATGTATTCAAATTTATCAATCTTTTCTAGTTTCTTATTTCGCATCTTAAAAAATCCTATGTCAGAAAATTTTTCTTCTATTTGTTTTCCAAAACTTAGTTTTCACACCTGGATATTATTGAATATGGTGTGAGACAGGGATATAACTCTATTCTTTCCATTCGAATAAGTAATTATTTCGGTACCATTTATTAAATAGTCCTTCTTTCCCCAGTTATCTACCACTTTATCATATGTGTTGCCATGTATGTTTGTGGATATGTTTGGAAGTTCCTTATCTTGTCCTATTGGTAAATTTCTCTATCCCTGTGCCATTCTTACACTCTTTTAGTGACTATGGCTTTACAAGGAGTGTTGATATCCAGGAGAGCAAGTTCCTCCCAACCCCCACTCCCCAACACACACACATCTCCACAAATGTTCTTCTTCAAGAGTGCTTTAGCTATTCTTAGCCTTTGATCATTCATATAAATATTAGAATTAGCTTACAAAAAAGTCAGGGTTTTATTAGAATTGCTTTGAACAAATAGGTTAATTAGAGAATTGACAGTTTTGGGTCTCTGAATCTACAGACATGGGATACATTCTTATTTATCTAGATTTTAATGTCTTCACAAAGTCTTATTTACTCTATATAGGTGTCATACAACTTAGACATATTCCATTTTTTACTTTTTATTATGGAAAATGTTAAATATGTACAAAATAGAAATAATAGTGTAATATGTTCATATACGATCTCTAGCATCAACAATGATCAACTCATAGACAATATTATTTCACCTATCACCCCAGTTTCCTGTCAAGCCACTCTCACCCATTCCCTTTAGAAGAGCTGCTGCTAGGTTATATGGGCACAGATACTCAAAACTGGTATACCTTTATTGTGAATTGTAGGCTTTGACATAATAATGAATCCTTATTTGCCCCCATTTAATGCCTTTCGTCCTGACTTCTACCTTGTCAGACAGCAATACTACAAATTCTGCTTTCTTTTTGTTTACATTTTTGCCTAGGAAAAAATCTAAAAAAGACTATTTAAAAAATAAATAGAAATTTTTTTAATTAAAAAGACTATTAATACTGGTTAATTCTAAATAATGGGCTTTTGAGTGTTCTGTTGTACTTTTGAGTATTTCCATACTTTCTGGATCAGTTTAAATTTAACTTTTTATAATAAAAATATTAGTCATTTTTCTAAGGCAAAAAATAACAAATTGACCCTCCTTCCAGATGTGTCGATGCAGTTTGCCCGAAAATATATCACTCACCACCAGCTTCAGTCAATTCTGTGATCTTCTTAAATTCTGGCTTAGAAAGGTAAATACCAAAATTTTGAAGACAAGTATTTAGATCCTCATAATCCACATTTTTATCTTTAATTTTATCAATGGCTTTAATGACACCAGGCAATGCTAAAAATAAAGGAGTATGCTAATAAGTATTAAAAGTAAGTCAAAAATAAAACACCACTAATAAGATGAATTTTAGTTCTAACACTAAATTAACAAAAATATAAATCACTTCAGCAATGTTACATACTAAAAGCATATCTAGAATCTTTAATAAAAAAACCAGTAAGTATCAAAATCAAAGTCAAAAATATATTTTTCTAGGCCACACACAGTAGCTCACACCTGTAATTCAAACACTTTGAGAGACCAAGGCGGGAGAATCACTTGAGGCCAGGGATTTGAAAACAGCTTGGGCAACAAAGCAAGACCCCTGTCTCCACAAAAAACTAAAAAATTAGCTGGGCATAGTGGTGTGAGCCTCTATTCCTAGCTACTGGGGAGGCTGAGGTGGGAGAATTGCTTGAGCCCAGAAGACGGAGGGTGAGGTGAGCTATGATAGTACCACTGTGCTCCAACTTGGGCAACAGAGCAAGACCATCTCAAAAAATAAGATAGATAGATACACATACACATATATATTATTCTACTATAGTCTCTGAACCTAAGGAAGCACCAATTTAATTGCACTGATAGTACAACTAAAATACATAGGAACAAAATATTACCTAATTTCTCCATTTAATTCAACAATTTAAAATTCTTTGTACTCTGCTTCTCAGTAGCAGAAATAGAAGCAGAAAATTTTCAATCCAAAATGATAAACTTGGATAATTTTGTGGCAATACATGGCTCAGTCTTTGGTAAATTCACCTTAGTTAATCTTTCTAAATATACATATTATTACTTAGGAATAACTATTCTACATCTCTTCTTATAATAACTTGGAATTTACACGTCATAAATTTGGTCAGTATTTTCTCCATAAAATTTAAACTGATAAATTTTTACTGCAATTAAAGCATTCTTAAAGGAAATTACTTACAAATATACTGAACTCTTAAGAAGGCTAGCTAACTGGAATTCATCTGGTTTAATCAGAAAATTTCAAAGTAGAGGTGGCACCTTAAATCACTTGAAGCAAATGATGAAAAAACAGAGAGAGATAGAGAGAGTGTATAAAAAAACAGAAGTTGTGTGTGTATGTGTGTATATTGTGTGAGAATATTGTTTGTGTATATCATGTTTGTATATTCCATCCCTCTCTCAATAAGTTTTATAATATACAAACATACACAATATATACACATACACACATATACACACAAAAACTCTAGAACAAATTAAACTCAAATAGGTTTTCTCTAATTCATTAGGATAGGTAAAGTAGGAAACTGGGCAGTAGAGGGCATTAAAGCCATTACCAGATATAAACTTCAAGTAGTCACTGGAAATCATTATGGCTTTCTAAACAAACAAGTGATGATCAAACTGATGTCTGAACTTGATGATTCTTAAAGTGATTATTTAAAAGATGATTCTTTTAAAGAAGATGTGTAAATAGTACAGCAAGATATGTGTCCCTATCTTGTGAAAGAAATTTTTAAGTGAACAAAATTCCCATTTAAAAGTTAAAAGCTCTTTTTTAATTTTACAGGTAGAAACAGCAAGCCATCTTAAGCAAATGTGAGATACAATGGAAAATCATTTGCAGTCGCCATAGGGATAGAATAACAGAAACATTTTTCTTTCATCAGCTTCTATACATCCAATACCACATGGAATGCAGAAATCTGGGGAAAGGGTGGACCATTTATACAAAAAGCCCAGGAAAAAGAAGAGAACGAGTTTCCAACTATTATTCTTGAGATTCAAAGTTAGCATAATCTATCAGAGAGGGATAGGGTTAAAAAAAAAAAAAAAAAGATGAAATGAGAGGCCTAGTCACTGTACTGAGTCAGCAAGGGGAAAATATGGTTCTAAATTCATAAGGTGGCTGATAAGAACTCTATTCTCACCTAACCCTCTAAGACTTGGGATTGTTTCCTATAAAGTGGCTGCTGAGTGAACATAAAGAGTCATACCTTTGAGAATCTTGTTTAGCTTGTCATGGGGCTTTCTTGCTTGAACTCAGACAATGTTTCCTTGATGCAGGTCCATATAAAGAGCTATATACTTGGGAGTACAGGCCAGTTTCACTGCAAAGCTCTCCTGGCTAAGCATTAACACTTAGCATACAGCCTGAAGAAGAATCTCCCCTACCACCAGTATTATTAGCAGAAGAAGAGGACGTTTTAACTCCAGTCATACATCTAATGTATTCTCTCAGCATCAGCAGTTTCAGCTAGTAGCTAGTTCCAGACTTTCCTCATGAAAGTTGCAACAACAACTTCCTAGTCTAGGCAAATAACAGCCTAAGCGTCTGTCATTTCAAAGCAACCAATCTCTATTGGTTGTAGCAGTCCCCACTCTCAAGATGTAAGTAACTGAATTCAGGCTTCAGATACACAGAGAGACAGACATAAGTACAAGAAAGACTGGTTAATTAGATATAGAAAACAACAGGAAATGTATAGACCATGGTAGGAAGGGGTTGAGAAGCATATTGAGCTTCCTACTATTCTGCCCATACAGGGATGCAAACATTGCATTTTAGAATATTCCTAGCATGAGAGGAGACACAATGGATTATTTCCATCCAAAGTGTGAATTATGATACTCCAGTAACACTAAATTGATTAGAAGTATAGAAGAAACAAAAGCAGCTAGTCTATTTGGTCAGGTACAGCAAGGTTCACTGTGACTTAAGCCTAAAGCAATATATTGACAACAAAGGGACAGAAAAAAGAATGTCCAATAAGAATCACCAATAACAGGCTAGAAAAAGCAAAGGAGCATTACACTGAAGTAATACAACCAACACTAATAAACTGGGGTGGTAGAAAACACATTAAGAAAGATGATAAATTTCAACAGAATGGAACTATAAAAGCAAAACCTGGAAGAAAGCTATCAGTTTGCTATTATCAGATCCAAATCTCAACTTTAAGTGAATTAATGCAAATATTTTTATGAACTTTTTAGTAAATCATATAAAAAAGGAATCTAATCTAGAAACTTTAAAAAAAATTATTGAGAAAGGGGTGGAACAACATGGCCAAATAGAAGTTTCCAGTAATTGTCCCCCAGCAGGAGCACCAAATTTAACAATTATCTACACAAAAACAGCACATTCATAACTAACAACGTGGTAAGCACTCAAAGTACCTGGTTTTAACTTCATATCACTGAAAGAGGCACTGAAGAGGGTAGGAAAAACTATCTTGAATCATCAATGCCATCCCTCCCTCATCCCCCAGCAGCAGCCACGAGGTACAGAGAGAGAATCCGTGTGTTTGGGAGAGAGAGAGCAGTGATTGTGAAACTTTCCATTGTATCTGCTGCCCTGTCACAGCAGAAAGCAAAACCAGGCTGAACTCAGCTGATGCCCACCTACAGACAGAGATGAGGAACTTGTTGGGAATTGCAGTAAAGGTGACTTTGGTACATTTTAGCAAAGAGACTGGTAGCATTTTGCCTCTGCCCTAGAGATTTGTGGAACTTTGAACTTGAGGGAGATGATTTAGGATATCTGGTGAAAGAAATTTCTAAGCAGCAAAGCATTCCAGAGGTTACCTGGGTACTGTTAAAAGCATCAGTTTTAAAAGGGAAACAGAGCATAAAAGTTCAGAAAATTTGCAGCCTGACAATGCAATAGAAAAGAAAAACCCATTTTCTGAGAAGAAATTCAAGCCAGCTGCAGAAATTTGCATAAGTAATGAGGAGACAAATGTTAATCACCAAGACAATAGGGAAAATGTCTCCAGGGCATGTCAGAGACCTTTGTGGCAGGCCCTCCCATCACAGGCCTGGAGGCCTAGGAGGAAAATATGGTTTCCTGGGCCAGGGCCAGGCCCCCCTGCTATGTGCAGCCTAGGTACTTTGTGCCCTGCATCCCAGCCACTGTAGCTATGGCTAAAAGGGGCCAAGGTACAACTCGAGCCATGATTTCAGAGGGTGCAAGCCCCAGGCCTTGGCAGTTTCCATATGGTGTTGAGCCTGCAGGTGCACAGAAATTGAGAATTGAGGTTTGGGAACTTCTGCCTAGATTTCAAAGGATGTATGGAAATGCCTGGATGTCCAGGCAGAGGTTTGCTGCAGGGGTGGGGCCCTCATGGAGGACCTCTGCTAGGACAGAACAAAAGGGAAATGTGGGATTGAAGCCCCCATACAGTCCCCACTGGGGCACTGCCTAGTGGAGCTGTGAGAAGAGGGCCACCATCCTCCAGACCCCAGAATGGTAGATCTCCTGACAGCTTGCACCACGTGCCTGGATAAGCTGTAGACACTGAATGCCACCCCATGAAAGCAGCCAGGAGGAAGGCTGTACCCTGCAAAGCCACAGGGGCAGATGTGCCCAAGACCATGGGAACCCACTTCTTACATCAATGTGATCTACATGTGAGACACGGAGTCAAAGGAGATCATTTTGGAGCTTTAAGATCTGTCTGTCCTGCTGGATTTCAGACTTGCATGGGCTCTGTAGCCCCTTTGTTTTGGCCAATTTCTCCGATTTGGAATGGCTGTATTTTCCCAATGTCTATACCCTCATTGCATCTAGGAAGTAACTAACTTGTTTTTAATTTTACAGGCTTATAGGTGGAAGGGACTTTCCTTGTCTCAAACGAGACTTTGGACCATAGACTCTTGAGTTAATGCTGAAATGAGTTAAGACTTTGGGGAACTGTTGGGAAGGCATGATTGGTTTTGAAATGTGAGGACATGAGATTTGGGAGTGGCTGGGGGTGGAATTATATGATTTGGCTGTGTCCCCACTCAAATATCATCTTGAATTGTAGCTCCCATAATTCCCACATGTTGTGGGAGGGACCCGGTCAGAGTTAATTGAACCATGGAATCATGGGAGCAGTTTTCCCCACACTGTTCTCATGGTAGTGAATAAGTCTCACAAGATCTCATGGCTTCATAAAGGGAAACCCCTTTCACTTGGCTCTCATTCTCTCTTGCCATTGCCATGTAAGAAGTCCCTTTTACCTTCCACTGTGATTGTGAAGTGGAACTGT